GGGCGGTTTTGGGAGCCTCTTGGGCGGCCTTCGAGTGTCGGGAAGCCGAAAAGGCGAGAAGGCAACACACATTAAAAAGAGTGATGAAAATCAGCGATTTTGGTTTCTGAGGGCCCAGGGTGCCGGAGCGCAGGGGGGAGTGTAGGGGGGGGGGTCCCGGCGAGTCCCTTGAACAGAGCTCCAGAGGCTCGGGGGGTGCCGGGGCGCAGGTGATGAAAATCGACGATTTTGGTTTCTGAGGGCCCAGGGTGCCGGAGCGCAGGGGGGAGTGTAGGGTGGGGGGTCCCGGCGAGCTCTTTGCCGGGAGGGGGGTCCCTTGAACAGAGCTCCATCCAGAGGCTTGGGGGGTGCCGGGGCGCAGGGGGGGGGCGAGCTTCTTGCAGGGTGGGGTCGCTAGAAAAGCGCTCCAGAGGCTTGGGGGTGCCAGGGCGCAGGGAGGGGGGCCGGCGAGCGATGGGCGTTGGTAGGGAGCTTGTGATGCGAACCGAACACAGTATAACGTAGTACTACGTGTACACCAGCCACCACTTCACGGCGCCCCATCAAAGGCGACAGGAACCCCGTCGTCAGAGGAGGACGTGGCGTCCAGAGCAAGAGGAGGACGGAGAGGTTCACCTCGTCTCCTCCTCCTCCTCCTCCTCCTCCTTCTTGTTCGTCGTCCGCCTCCTCCTCGTGTTGCCGCTGCTGCTCCCTTTGTTTCTCTGTCAACAGGCTGCGTTTTCTCTCCGGACATGTCTTGGAGTCTCGCAAGACGCGCCTTGGGGGCTGGTGTGTCGCCCCAGGGACTTGCTTCGGTTTCTTTCGTCACGGGCCCAGGGGTTGCTAGATTTTCGGAAGCATCAATTTGCGACTTGGCCCGGCCGCCGCGCTGGCCGAGACCGCTGGGCCCCGCGCGCATCGTTCCAGTAGGCGCGCGCACCGGCAACGTTGGGAACAAACGCCGAAGGTTTCGGTGGGGATCGCCCTTAGCAAGATCATCTGTTCGGCTGGTGAAATGCAGGCCCCGTGGAAAAGGGTTGAGAGGTCTGTCGAGGCTCAAGGGACGAGGCTCAATGCACACGGGGTCGGTCAGAGCGCTGGATCTTGCAGGAGTCTGCAGGGCCAGGGCTGCACTGACCCATACTTGGGCGCAGGATCCTGCAGGATCCTGCGGGAGCTTGCAGGATCCTGCAAAGCGCGACTGACCTGGATCTGGATTGACCTGGGTCAGTGAATCCAGGGGGCCTCAGAAAAGATTCGGGCCGCCCGAAGTCGGGGCCGCCGCCCCCCCCCTCCCATTTCCGCTCCCCCTTCTGCCCCCCCCCCTTCCCGAAGAACGCGCCTGGAGTTGAGGAAGGCGGGAGGCTGCAAGCACCCGGCTTGTCTTTCTGTCTGCCCTTCCAGGGGGGGGGGCGCGGCCTGACGGAGCCTGCAGGACGGGCCCAGTCCCTGCGTGGCCACCTCAGCTCTGGCGCCGGCGTCGGTCGCCCACCAAGCCATCCCAGCCACCGCCCACCAAGCCCACTTCGAAGCACCTTCGTCACCGCCCACCAAGCCATCCCAGCCTAACCCGAAGGCCCCGATCTGCCATCCACTTCCAGTGTGGGGGGGGGTCGGGGGAACATCGATAACAATCACATCTGAAGCCCGTGCCCCCCCCCCCCAGACCCGACATTCGGGCCTTCGGGCTGGGTTCTTCAGGAGGAAAAGAAACACACAGGCACAATTAATCGTCGATTCCTCAGAAAATATGGGAAAATATAGAAAAGTGGGGGGGAAGACGAAAACCCAGAAAATATTGGAAAATATGGGGAATCCGGTTATTTGTGTGTGTGTTTATTTGTGTGTCCCAGGGCCCCTTCGGTTTTGGGGTGGCCTGGCGGGTGGGGTCACCTCGGGCCGGCCCGCCCGCGCCGGCCTTCCCCGCCCGTGCGGGCGCGTGCCTCCCTCCTGCGCCCCCCTTGCGCCCCGTTGCTTGAGGACCGCCGGCTGCTCGCTGGGCCGCCCGCGCTCCGCGAGCTCCGATCCGAGCCTGTCCTCCCCGCGCTCCCCTTCTCTTTTCCCCTCGCCCGAGGCCCAGCCGTGCGCTGCTGCCGCCGCTGGCTGCCACCGCTCCTCCTCGGCCCTCCTCCTCCTCCTCCTCCTCCTCCTCCTCCTCGGCCTTCCTCCTCCTCCTCCTCCTCGGCCTTCCTCCTCCTCCTCGGCCTTCCTCCTCCTCCTCCTCCTCCTCCTCCTCCTGCCCCTCCTGCCCCTCCTCCTTTCTCCCTCTCCTCCTCCTCCTCCTCCTTTTTTACGTCTCCGCTCGCCCGAGGCCCAGCCGTGCGGCTCCTCGGCCGCGAAGGGCGGGGGCACGAGCCCCGCCCTCGGCAGAGGGCGGGGCGCGCAGGGGAAAAAACGAGCCCCGTTGGCGCCGCCGGCCGGGCCCCGTGGCGGGCGAGGAGCACGACGAGCCTCGCCCGCACGGGACCCGGGTGCTCCCCTGCGGGGAGAGCCATCGGGCGACGTCCCTCCTCCGATCCCGAACTCATCCTCGTCTGTCTCCCCCCTAAGCCGCTCCCGTCGTGCCAGGAGGCCGCTGTGCGCTCCCGGCTGTCGGGAGCCGCCTCGCCCAGGCCTCTGGCCAGCGAGGCTGGGGCGCTCGGCCCCCCGTCTCCGATGTTGTGAAGACGGAGGCATCGATGTGGGGCTTCGCAGTCTGGTCCACGATGCTCGTGGAAGAAGCACTGCAGCTCGGGTAGACACCAACAGAAAGACAAACAATGATGCACAACCTATACAGGTACAGAGTTCTTGAACGCAGCTGTCAGGAATATAATATGCAGTCGCACCTCATCATTCACTGTGATTATATCGTTCCAAGCCTTTGGAGATACAAGTTTGTGACCCCACACATCGTCGGTATTGCGTGGCCAATACCCAACTGAGGGGTCAAGGATAGCATGTTGCTGCTGGCCCTCGAGGGTCTGATCGCATATAAGTGCCAATACCCTGCCAGTGGACAATAGTTGTAGCCAGTAGTTCAGAGTAACATCCTGTGAAAGGTCGGAACTAGGGCAGTCTGATGTAGCTGACAGTCTGATGTGCAGCACAGCTTTGTTGGCCGTCGGGTCCGTCGTCTGCTGTGCAATTTCTCCATTCGCTTGGGAGCATACGTAAAGAATGGCATGGTAATGTTGCTGCTGGATGCTGAATTCAGTGCTCCTGGGGGTGATTGTAGGCGCGGCCATCTCTGGCACCTCAAGCACTTCACCAGCCCGAGGTGCCTCGCCAAAATCAAAGCGCACGCGGTTCCTCGGACGCCTGACACCAGGGGGTTTGAGAGCTGGTCGTAGGGCCTTCTGCGCGTGGTAACCGATCTGTCGAAGCTGCTCGCGCTTGTCTTTGTCATCCGCTGCCAGTCGAGCTGCCTCCTCCTCCTCCTGCTCCTCGGTGACAGGTTCAAGCGAGACACGAGGTGCCACGATATCTCAAGTGTACCAGCAATCGCTCACGTGTATGAAAGTCGAAACCACAATTCCTGTACTGCCCGTTGATGGCGTAGAGGTGGGCGCGGTCGCGTGGTCCGTGCTGGGTACTATGATGATGAGAGAGCGCCCCCATTGTAGCAAAACCCTGTCCGCAGATGTAGCTTAGGCTTCTTCGTGGGCTTGAAGAGCTCAGAGGTAGGAGCCCCCGATGTGACCTGCCTCCTCCAGACCACGACTTTGAGCTGCTCGATCTGGTACTTCTTGTCGTTGGCCATGGCTTGCTTCAGGAGGTTATAGAACTTGTTGAGGCTGGTTCTGACGTAAGCTATCCATTCTTGCAAGCTATCATGTGGGTCAGGTAGTGCCGTGGATACACGGGAGCGCAGCCATGGGGTATCGTCGAGGATGAGGCGGTGCCAAGACTTGGGCACATCCGATAGGAGATCCCATAGTAGCATGAGTGCTTCGACCGACAAATGTGTGCACCTGGCCCAGTAACGTAGCCTTCTGTATCTGACCACTGTTTCTATTAGGTTGGTTCTGAGCACGTAGTAGTACTTGGGCATCAGTGACTCTCTTGTCCTCGTCGGTGAGACCCGTGATGTTGATGCTGTCAGTGAGGGACCGGTAGCCGTTCATGTAGGCATGCTTCGCTTGCTTCATCTGCGCATCCGTGATCTCTCATAGCCCACTACGGTATAGAAGTTTGAGCATGGCCAACGTGTCGAAATACGTAACATGTTTTTTCCATGGTTATTGCTTTCGTAGTTTCCATATGAGACTTGATCGGGGTAGCGGCGATCCGATATTCGGTGATGCGGTTATTGATCTCAGGGCTCTGGTGCGCGTCGCGCTCAGCAATGCTGCCCAGGTGCTTGTAGGTGGTCTCAACCGCTACGCCTTCGCAGTCGTCTCCTTGTATGTCTGACATCCTGGGGCGCTTTCCCCTCCTCCTCCTCCTCCTCCTCCTCCTCCTCCTCCTCCTCCTCCTCCTCCTCCTCCTCCTCCTCCTCCTCCTCCCACCCCCCCCGCCCGCTCCACGTGGGCGGCTTCGGTCTGCATGGCGTCTTCAGCGCAGCGCACGCCCCCGGCAGCGATGCCGTCTGGCGGCTTCTCGCGGATTTCCGACATCGATACGGAAAACAATCCCTTGAGATGTCCCCTTGCCGCTCAGGCGGCCATCTCCTGCCTCTTGCTCTATCGTTAATGCGATACAGCAGAGTTGGATGTATACTACGCCTGATGCGTAGTATCTGTTGGGTCTCCCACCTCACTTTAAAATGCCCCTCCCCCCTGGGAAGGGATACAGGGAATGAGGTTTTCCATGTACGGGATGAGCTGATTGCGTACATGTGGCTAGAACAGTGTACTGGGCGGGCGGGCTTTGCCAGGGCTTAGCTCGACGAACCCCGACAGGCCTCTCGCACACGCCGACAGTGTCGACTGACTTCTTCTTTTCGTCACGTCACTCTGCCCATTTCTTGCTATGTCTTGTCTTTCTTCCCTTCCCCTCATCATTCCCTCCTCGGCCATTGTCGCTCTTCTCCCTGGCAGGTGGGCAGTGGACGGCCGAAGGCTCGGCCGCTCGCTGGGATTACCCCGACGAGGCGTGCGGGGGCCAGGCGACTAATCTCAAGTCGACAACCGCCACGATCGACGTGGTCGTGACAGAGGACACCCCTGTCACCTTCTTCGTGACGGGCACCGCGGTGGCCCAGCTCGAGTCCCTGCAGATCAGCTCAGTCCCTGCAGATTCGTCCCTGTCATCTCGGGGCACGTCGACTGGCCGCAGCGCCAGCCCTGGCCAGGTCGCCTCCTCTGGCCTCTGATCGGTGCACGCCCCCTCTGGCCAGGAGGGCGCGAGCACGGATCGAGGAGGAGGAGGAGGAGGAGGAGGAGGAGGAGGAGGAGGAGGAGGAGGAGGAGGAGGAGGAGGAGGAGAGGAGGAGAGGAGGATGAGGAGGAGGGAGGAGGAGGAGGAGGAGGAGGAGGAGGAGGGAGAGGAGGAGGAGGAAAGGAGGAGGAGGAGGAGGAGGAGGAGGAGCAGGAGGAGCAGGAGGAGCAGGAGGAGGGGGAGGAGGAGGAGGAGGAGGAGGAGGAGGAGGAGGAGGAGGAGGACGAGGAGGAGAAGAAGAAGCCCAGGGTGGGCCCGACCAGGATCGGTGTGGCGGTCCGCCGACGTGACCCGACAATCTTGGAGCGCAACTGTTAAGACTAAGGATGGCCTAGATGGGAACAACTGCGCAGTCAATGCTTGCGTCGATTGCACTGTCACGCAGAGCTTTCCCCACACCTTGTCGGCGGGTCAGCACACCCTCACGCTGAAAGTTACGAGCATGGACCATCTTTTCCACTCGGACGCCTTCTGGCAGGTTGCCGTCGGCGCTGCCAATGAGGTCTGTCAAGAATGCATCTGCGCACAGCGCGCGTTCGCACCACAGGTGGCAGCCTCCGCCGCGCCCTCCTCGGTCGACGAGTGCCCTCTCTCAGATTCCTGCGGCGAGGTGAGATACTCGCAACTGTACACCATCACCAGCCTTCGCTAACCCTATCACGATTTCGGATCGGTGTGTGTGCCTTCCTGGCCCAGACCAGCGGGGTACATATCCCGACCAGGGTCAAGGATAAGGCCATTCATGGTGTCGAATATCCAGAAACTGTATGAGCAAAAACTTTCGGAGGTTCGCTTGATCGGGGTTGGCCACCCCCCCGCCATCAGGCGCGCTCCGCGAGCCAGGGAAGGGGTGTGGAGATGGAGTGTCCTGGGGTACGGCGCCGTCCCGAGAAACCCGTCCAGACTTCCCAATAGTGAATGCCCATGCCGTTTTTTGTTTCTGAGGCTGGTGATGGTTGTGCACAGCTGCTAGTACCCAAGGGCGGCGCCGCTTTAGGGTGTGATGGTGTTGGCTCGTGCCGCGAGCTCATGAGCAGCGCCCTCGCGGCGCTCGCGAAGGGAGAGTCCTCGCCGGCCCAGGACGCGCGCGCGCGGCCCTTCGAAGATCGGCACGGACGGAATGGGTACGGAAAGAAAGGGCACACTGCCCAACAGCAGTTCCTGTTCACTTTGATCAGGACTCGCTGTCTGCGCCGCCACGGACGCTGTCCAAGTGAGACAGAGCGCCGCATGCCCAACGGCGGCCGCCGTCGGTCTTGGACAACCGTCGCTGTGGGGCATCGTGCCCAGACTTTTCCGTACCCCTTTCGGGCGCCCGAAGAGCAGGAGCGAGCACGACCAGAAGCAGTCGATGGCGATCATCACCACCCACCAAACCACCCCAACCCAACCCGAAGGCCTCAATTTACCCTCGATTTCCAGTGGGGGGGGGGTCGGGGAACGTCGAAAAAACACGTATGGGACCCATACCCCCCCCCCAACCCGAAATTCGGGTCTTCGGGTTGGGTTGGGGTGGTCTGGTAGGTAGTCAGAAGAGCAGGAGCGAGCACGATCAGAAGCAGTCGATGGCGATCGGAGAGGCTCGAGGCTCCAGGCACGAGGTTCTCGGGCCCCCGTGCCGCGTTTCGGGGCCTCGGGCCCTCCTCGGAAGCACTCTTTTTCCAGCCGCCGCGCCTCGCCGCGAGCAGCTCTCTTCCGGGGAGGGCCCGCCTCGCCGCGGCACGGGCGGCCTCCCGGGAAGGCAAGGGGGGATGCGGCACCTCTAATCGTTGCGTGACGCCGCAGGTGTTGTGGACGAAAGTATTTTGGTTTCGACACGCTGCAAAAATGAGACTTTAGTAGCACCAAATGTAGAAGAAGAGGACACATTCCCAGTTCCGAACAGCAAATGGCAATAAGGATACGTTAAAACACATTCCAGCGAAACAGTGCGACATGGAATGAAGCGCACTCCGCGGGCGTCCTCGCGTGGCCGAGCGTGCTGGCGGCGTCGAGGAGCCCGGTCTCCGAAGCGGCGCTTCCGAGGCTGCCGCGCGGTCTGGGCACGCCCGTGCAGCCAGAGCACGCGGTCGTTGTCCCGGCCCTCGTCCTGCCGATCGGCGCGGGCCCGCGCCCTGCCCCCTCTCGGGAGGGGGAACGAAAACACACAGGGGCACAGTTCATCGTCGATCCACCAGGAAACATGGGAAAATATGGGAAGTGGGGGGGAGGACAAAAACCCAGAAGATATGGGAAAATATGGGGAATCCCCCCCCCTCATGGAGCAAGGGCTCCCACGAGGGCGCGAAGTTGTTCGCGCTTCGCGCTTCGCGGTCCTCGTTCCTTCTCCCCCTCCTCCTCGTCCTCCTTTTCTCCCTTTCGGGGGGCGGCGCGAGAGCGCGAAGTCGTTCGCGCTTCGCGCCTCGCGCAGCGCGAAGCGCGAAGTTGGGAGCCGATGGAGTAGATCGTGGCTGTTGTCGGCGCCTGTTTCAAGCAGGTGGAGTCTCTCACCCATAGGGCGCACTGCTGCACGCAGCCGCGCTAAGCGCAGAGGTCCGCGCGCGCGGCCCTTCGAAGAGGAGCGCAGGAGCCGGCATGATCAGGAGCCGTCGATGGCGAGCAGACAGGTTCGATGCTCTATGATGGTCCGATTTTCCACCACCACTTCTATAGGTAGGAGAGGGAGGAGGAGGAGAAGGAGGAGGAGGACCTCCCCCTCCTCCCTTCTCCCCCGTCCTACATATGGTAGTGGTGGCGGAAAATTGGCCCACCACTTCAGGTACGAGGTTTTCGGGCCCTTGCGCCACTTCTCGAAGGCATGCTTCCTCGGACAAAAAATATTCCAGCTGCCGCGCCTCGCCGAGGGCGTCCGGGAGAACCTCCTGACATGGCTCGGACGGCCTCCCGAGAATGTCAGGGGTAACGATACGGGGTCATAGGCATAGGGGGGGATGCATCGACCCCCCATCGCCCATTGATCGCCGCTAGGGGCCCGATAGCACCAACCTGCCCAGGAACTTGCGGAATCATTATCGGGGGCCTCTCGCCGATCCATCGGCGATGTACCGCCGATTCCAGGTCGATGTTCTCCCCTCCTTATGCAAGTCCCCCCCCTATCGTCGCCCCTCAGAAGGCAGGGGGTGCGCGCTTCGAAGGTGCCCTTTGCTCCGGGAGCATCTGTGCAGTCAGAGCTCGAGGGCAAGGACACTTTTGACTCCAGAGAGGGGCCGATGTCTTCTGGGCACGTCCAGTGCGTTTCCCTTGGCGCTCTTCTCGGGTGCAGTCGCTGCTGATGTCCAAAAGGGGCCTCGTCCTCCACAGGAGGCCCAGGAAGGGCTTCGATCTCCATCTGGGGCCCAAGGAGGACTGTCGCCCAGTGCCTTTCCGACAAGGTGGCCGCCCTCAAGCATTACCCGGGGACGTACCCAACGCGTTCTGTGCTCGCGGCAGCAATCAACACGTTGGCCTTTCGCTGGACCTCCGAGGAGCTCTCTGGTGCCCGCAAACGGTGCGGTGACCGCACCGTGTCGTGAGTCAGTGGGGATCCAGGGTCACGGCTCGGTTTTCGGAATCGGGTCGCTCTCCGTGTGCCACATCCCGACGGGTTGGGGTCTCTTGGGCTCCAGGGCGTGCCTCCCCTCTCCCCTCTCCGCTCCCTTCCTGCTTTCGCCATAGCCCATAGCCTTCGGCTCGGAGCGAGCTTCAGTTGTCTGAGGCCTCGTTGCGCCATGGTCTAAATGAGTTCCTCCTGATGCCCTTTTATATTTTCCCTCTCAGTCTGTCCTTTACATTGACGAAGACACTGGTAAGCGGAGCGTGGGTGTTATGGATCAGCGAGAGGGCCCAGGGGGAACGTAATCAGTGATGTGGGCAACGGGGACCAAAAGTTCGTTCAAGGTCGGCACCCAAGCCGCCCCACAAGAGGAGGTGGATGAGGAGGACGAGTGTAAACGCAAGAGTCATCAACGATGTTGGCATAACCACTCCCTCCTGAATCGTTCCAAAGCGCCATTTCTGTTACGTTGACCATGGGCTCCCGTGAAACTTTGGCACTTTTTAAAAAAGGAATGTGCGCGGCGCTGAGGCGAGAGCCACAGTTTGAAAACGGCCCGCCCTCAATCCGTGAAGCTCTTGCACATTTAAAAGCAAGAGTGCGCGGCGCTAAGGCGAGAGCCACATGATGAAAACGAGCCGCCCCCAATCCGCGAAGCTTTTGCAAATGCTTAAAAAAGAAAGTGCGCGGCGCGAAGGCGATAGCCACAGTTTGAAAACGGCCCGCCCTCAATCCGTGAAGGTCTTGCAAATGTTTAAAACGAATGTGCGCGGCGCCAAGACGAGAACCCCATTTTGAGTACGACCCGCCCTCCATCTGTGAAGCACTTGCCAATGTTTCAGCTTCAGGGTCATACGTAGTGAGGAAGTCTCAGGCTAAACGCCCAGTCTGCCGTTTCGACGGGCCTCGGGGTGTGACAGGGATAAGTTGTGTGTAAGGAACAGGAATAGAGGAGAAGGAGGAGGAGAAGGATGAGGGGGAGGAGGAGGAGGAGGAGGAGGAGGAGGAGGAAGAGGAGGAGGAGGAAGAGGAGGAGGAGGAGGAGGGGCAACACAGCAATAATGAGACGAAGAGCTACGATGTCGTGGACCCCCAGGCTGCTCATGTGCCGCCTCCCGAGAGTCCCAATGTGTGGTCAAAGCACGCAGTGATTATCTCACCCGTCGACGTCGCTCCCACACCAGGACCCATGACGACGCTAAGAACGAGATTCGTGGCGGGTTTTTTGGTGGCAGACGTCCTGGCAGGAACCGCGGCAGCAGATCCGACCCTGTGGCAGAAGTCGTGGGAGCACCAGGTCTGTTTCGACGACGGCTGGCACGGAACATGGTCTCCGGGCTGGGGCGACAACTTGGCTAGTGTGAGCGCGTCCCAGAGTCGTGACCACGGAGCTCCGCCAGTTTGGTTGGGCTCCGGAAGGTTGCGCCTGCCTCTTCCCAGCCTAGCGTCCTGAGCCGCCTGGGCCGGATGCAAGGATAATCGACGTATCGGAGAAGTCTTAGAGAATGTCCCGATCTAGGTCCAGCATACATGTCTGACCATCAGGTACACTCACTGATAAGGACGGCGCGGAACAACTCCCACGACAAGGAGAGGCATCCCCCAAACGCAGCACTGTTCAACTATGGTATCAGACGCGGGGAGTCCGTCATTCATCTCATTCTACGACGCGATCTAGAAACGATTGAAGCAGAACGCTAAGGATTCCTATCTGCCCGGCGAAGTGAAGTCAGGGTATCTCGAGGTGCTCAAATCATTGCCCAAAGCCGATTCAATCTGAAGATTTTCGCAGGCGGAAAGTCAGATTCCGACTCGATTCGACGCGCCTTTTTGCAAGTGGGCGTCTGCGACAAACCCGTGCAACCGACGGCCGCGATATCAACCGATGTCGCTCCCAAGCCGATACCGTTACATTCTAGTGCTCATGAGTCATGCTTTGAGAGTTTCTTTGAACATGTCGACGCCGCTCTTGAGTTTCCAGACGCCGACGCTGGCGCGTTCGCAGCGGCCTCAGACGATCCGTGTTTTTTGTTTCACATACAAAGAACGAGCTGCTTGCAGTACTGGCCAGGACCATCGACGGAAATCTGGGTCGCGAAAAGAAGTTGACTTGGTCAGAGGCAAGGAACATGAAAGGTCATGACAAAGTTGTTCGGAATTTCTTCGACCGCAGCCGCGCTGCCCAGCCTGGCTTTCGATGCGCCGGCGATGACTTGAGGCAGAGGCCCAAGTGCGCGAATTGCGAAGCGCCGTGTAAGAGCCCCGAAGAGTTCGCATGGCCGACGAGAAGAAAGCGAGAACGATCGCTCTTCGACGCCGAAGCATTTCTTTGAGAACCCTGGCCACTACGACGACCACTCAGCGCTGCTGACTTGACTTTTCATGGGCAGCCCGGAGGACGGCGAGAAGACTGTCGGTGCCTTTTTGGCGCCCGCGGACTGGTCTGGCCTCGTTAGTGCGCGGTGGACCTCAAGTTGTTTCCAACGCTCAGGAATATGCTCGATGGCGCCCTCGTGGGCACCGCCGCAGGGCAGGCTCTGATCGGCGAGGG